ATGTTATGCGATCCTAAAAGATTACGCGTGAGTATACATTTGTCCCTTTTGTGAAATTGATTGACGCCGTTATAATCAAATAAGGGTCTAATACAAACCCATCCCAAAAAACCACTGGTCACCGAGGACGCAAACCACTGCTCATGATGACATTCCGTTCCAAATACATGGAAATATTTGAAAATTAAAGATCTAATAGAAAAATACTCACGGTGAACCTCAAGTAATAGGTTACAAGGTCTGGTAATCCTCGAAACACAATACGGTTCGGATCTGGGAAGTGTAGATTATCGGACTATGCCTCTCTATAGCGTGCTTGTGCGCGAGCGGCGCTACAAATCAATTTCCCGTTTGTTGCGCGGATTGCCTTGCAGGCGCCATAACGGGACACTGAACGCGTATATTCGTGACAGACATTGGTCGGGAAGAAGGAATGGAGATTGAATGTAAGAAAGATCAACTTGAGCATGGGCAGTGTAGCGTCCTGAAAAGACAGTAAGGTTTCCACAAAGTGCAAAAATTAAAAGCAGGGGTACAAATTGAGAGAGTAATTCTATATTATCTCTGCGTAAGTTGGTTCCATACCATGGAAGCTTCTGCATAAGTCAATTAATAACCTTCCCATCTATAACTGTGACGAAGCCATGCCGAGGAGTGACAGCTAAGCACCTCCTTGATTGGGGGTTGGTGGCTATGTTGTCACTGTACAAAAAATCCATCATCGCGAAAGCGAGTACGACTGTCCTGACATTCCTTAATCCCCCTACTCGAACTTCTCTGCATTACGAACACCACACTGAAAGAGAAAACACTGAAAACTGAAGGCAAAACTCGAGACCGTTTGAAGATTGAATGTCCTTATCCAGAATGATTGAAAGATGTCCCGCATTTCAAATCACATCTCCTAATCGCTCTGCCTGAAGTAAAGCCCGAATCAATTTAGGACTTATGTATAAAGAACATCCGCCCTCTAGCCTTCCACCCTTTCTAACCCTATACATATTCCAAGTCTGATAAGTAATAAGTTCGTGCCAAGTGTCTACAGGAGACTGGATATTAATTGACGCAGGGAAATTGCGTGCTAAAGGTAATCTAGTGACATAGCATAAAAACAAAACACAATTAGCCCACGAAGTATTAGCCTAAGAATTACTAATACTCATCTTACACTGATATCGCTGTCCGACAATTCGCACTTTAGAAAGATGTAAAGACCGCGAATGAATTGAATAAATAACACAATTCAAGAGAGAAATGTATATGGGCTGCAGCGTGTGAAGAATCGCTTAGAGGCAGCCCCAGGACTAAAAATGTACTGAAAAAAGAACTACTCCAAAATGAGCCCAAAAACAAACAGAGAAGTCGCTGCGCATAAAAATTTGATCTCCCTTGCCGGCGGTTGATTTTAGCATCACAACAACTGCGATAACCACACAGAAACTCGGTCGAAGAATCGGTTTATTAACCCGTAGCAACAGCTTTGAAGGCAACCATTTGTATGCCCCTCTCTTCAAAGATCGTTCCAGTTCTGCTGCTGTGTGCACAGACAGCGTCGCGCGCATCACCAAACAAACCAGTTGTGGTACCTTCTGGTGCAGTAGCGTTTCAAGTACTGCTCAGCAACCAGCAACACCTTCCGTATTACGCCACATAGGTTCCCTGCAAAGCTAAGGTGGAATTACAGAGGGCCCGTTATCATCGCACCATCTTAATCTCGCCCTCAAGACTTAGGCGCGCAAACCTAACAATAAGAGGTCACAGGCGACGCAAATCAAAGCCTTTGTAGTCGATCAAACAAGCGTTCATCGGGAAAACCAATCTACTCAGAAATTTATTGCACACCGACAAATAAAGCCTAGAAAAGCATATTATGATCATGTATCACCGAATATAGAGGAGACTCTGGGACTCCATCGCGCCGCACAGACAAGAATTGCTCCTAAGTCGATGAGGTGTGGGCAAAGCAGAAGCAGGAGTAAGGCACACATGGCTCTGTGAGATGATAACACAACCGCGAGTATATACAATGATGCGAGCTATGGGCGCGTTGGTCGGCGAGTTTTGTGCAGGCCGCACTGGTTGCCACCGTTGCGACGGAAAGCGTTTAACTTACTATTCTCCTTATTTACGTTGTTTATTGAGCTTATCTCCTTAATTATCCACAAAGCCCCCAAAAAACTTCTTTCTCGAACACTTTTCTGTTTTGGCTTCTCTTCACTGCTAAGGAACAAAATACGCTGAAGAAAGTCGATAGCGAACACATACCAGATAATTTAGATTGCACAGCTGAGAGCTTACGTCGATCCGCCATGGCTAAGAACCTTCCCACGCAGGATAGCTTTTCGCAGGTGTTGTTCAAGAAATTTTCGAATCAAATGACAGTGAACTTATCAACAAAAAACAATCCATATACTTGGTTACTGCTTATGATATGATACCTACCCTTCTTTGAACTAAAGGTAGGTGTCTTCCAAGTTTTCAGTCTGCGGGTTTCACCACTGTATAGTATGTAAATGATACCACTAGCCTACATTAAAAGGAAGGGAAGTGGGGTATCCAAGGGAACGTACCTGCAAAGATGTTAAACAGTGTTCTCGACTCACAAAATAAATAGAAGCGACATAAAACCTTATACTCCAACTCAAAACATTATTTCAAATGTTAGTTCAAAAAATAGAAATGAAAGATTAAAGGACAAAACAACTGTGTTTATATACTGCACTTGGAAAGGGAATTGAAAGTATATATAAGCCAGCCCATAGAAATCAAAAGCCAATTTGTTATTGAGAGGATGAAAAAAAATACGAAAAACGGCACAGAACCAAGATCTCTTCTTGTCCATTATACTACATCATTGTGCGTACTCATCGTGCTTCTAACTTTCGAACGCTCACGAACCAGACTCTCTGCCCGAACGACTAGAAGTGCGTATTGCAAGGCTCAAACCCTGTTGCGACCATCAAACGGCGTCGATGGCGCGAGGAGCCCTTAATCTAGGCCCGCTGAAGTCAAACCCCTATACTCGCACATGCGAAACGTACACGCCAGCCTCTGAGTGGGCAATAAGGGGAGAGAGTCCTGCCCGTAACCCTCGAACTAATACATTCCCTTTCACTCAACCTGTCATGTATCCTCCCTTAACTCACATTCAACGCTACTCCCTTTCAAATCAAAAGGCGTTCCATGAGGCAACATCCGCCAAAACTGAGCTTTAAGAATGTGTGATAAGAGTTCTCTTATGTCAATCATCACGCATTTGCACCCACGTGTATATAGACATATTGACTAATTGCTTGAGCAATCATGACAACTTCATTCGCATCGCAACTATATAACACAGTCACTGAAAAAGAATATTTGTTGCAAAAAACAACTGTGAGCGAAGAAAAACGAAGGAGTAGTGCACTTAAAGTAAATATTAAATATAGAAGCAAATCTTGAAGATAGATGGGAAAAATGAAATGCTGAAAATCGCATAAGTCTATAGGAAATTTAAAACTGGACTAGGGCAGAATCGTGTGAAGGAAATGCTACTATTCTGAAGGCCTAATTCTCGCCAACACTAATATATATCACTCACTCTATTTATTAAATTGATTGAACGCGACACCTACTCCAATTCCTCGTACGTTGGCGGATCGCTACCCTCAACTGGGAAATGTCATCGACAATACTAGACGAGAACGGATGTGCCGACCGTTCCAAAACCGATTGGTAGCCGGAGTCTTGCAGGAACTCGGCCCCTTTTAAAGCTGTCTGCAAACAAAACAATGTGAGCTCGTAAAATCACAACAACAGCAACTCGTTTTTCAAATAGACCTACGTTTAAATCTTTGAGATCGTAGTCCATGTCATAGAAGAAGACGGGCGCCTCTATGAAGTCGTCGTTAACATGAGGTGCAGCAGAACTGGAAAAGTAAGCGACTAAGAAAACGATTTGCAGTCAACGGTGAGTAGCAAGAGCAGCAATGAACGATCTGGTTACTACAGTGAACGACATGAGTTCGCTATGCGCTCATGCTAGAAGTAATTTTTTGCTGCTTCCAGAAAAGCAGAAATCAGAAGGGAAACAGACGTGATGGAATACGTGCGATCTTGCATCAGAGAACATTCACAGGTTCACAATTCCAATTCTAGAGGCTCAAGGGGTTCACGATTTTAGCACGGGGATCAACAATGGAAATATATTGAATAATATTTGTCGAGCAATGACTTTTAGAATGAATAAAAATCTTGAGCGAAGTAATCAATAAGGCTTCATGTAGATTTCATAATGAAGGTGAGTGAATTCAAATGATCGCCACCAGCTAAAGCACCCTCGTGCTTGTTACATGGTCCTCGGAAATGAATCCTATCCTTCCCATCAAAAACCTAAGCCCCTATTTTTGCGATCATTGCGTGAGGCCAGTCGCACAGCTAAAGGTCTGAAATGGTGTAGGTTGCAGAGACTATTTAGCCAGCAGCTTGATCTTTTATGACCTACCTCCCTGCTCAAAGAAATGGGAGGTCTACCATTGGCAATCTTTGCAGTAAAGATAATTGTTTTGCGCGACTTCACGTGGTACATCCTAATGAATGAAAAAGAGGGACAAAATATAAAACTGTGCCGAAACCGAAGTGTCTTTTCCGAGCGGGCTCCCGCTGCGACGATGAGACAGTGGACGAGGATGACGCAGAGAGTGAAGAGCGTGAAGGGACGGAGAGAGGCAGGCACCACGCGACCGCCCACTAGCCAGCAACAAGGAGTGAAAGGTTTTGGGGAGCTTGAGCCGGCACAGAACGACCCATATGTGGATGACGTCGGAATAGCTCTATCCTGCGCTCACGAGTGAAATTATTCATCTGGCTCAATCGTGGAATGTGAAATTAGGATGCTGGTGCCTCAACAATCAATAACTATTTCACCGCAAGTGAACGAAGTTGAGTGGTAAAAGATACCAAGAACATCCCTATAATATTACCTGAATCAATTATATCCTCAGCTCAGAAAAAACTTTCTTCTTTTCAAAATCTGACTGGTACGCCCGAGGAAAAAAGGTTTTTCTTGGAACTTCATTCGAGGCTTAGTAAGTCCACTGCTGTGAAGAACGAACAGAATGTATTTTATGGCAAACCTTCTTTCATTGCCTAAATATACATGGAACAGAAATAAAGACTAAGAACTGAAATACTTCTATGTCCTGAGCTGACAGGAAAGGGATGGTTAGGTCGAAGGCCGTATAAAACGAGATGTATACCACCTGTACATTGCGTCTCTAACACGCGCTGTTAAAATCTGCCTTCCAAATCTGCTAAACCCCGGGCCTCTCCGAATCGGAGGTTATGAAAGCCGTAACATGCTCGTGGTGATGGTACCGGGTTGGCCAGTAACAGCTCGTAAGGCTCGTGTTTGCGGTTTGGCACGTGTTGCTTGCTTTTATTCGCAACACTCTCTACGAGACAAAAAGTCAAAGCAAGCAACTTGCAAAAGGCACTGATGCCTACAAGCTTTTAGCCTCAACCACCTCTAACCATCACCACTGAGCCTATGACGCCTTCCTAACTCCCGTTCGAAAGCCGTTATGGCAGATTTGGAAGGCAGATTGAAATCAGCGTCTAGAGGACGGCTCAGGAGGTTATATCCATTCATTTCGAACGGCCACTTCGCCTCCCATCCTTCGCCTCGTGAGCTATACTTAGAACGAACTGAGCACGTGCAAAGAGTTTCTGTAGGCACGGCCAATGAGAACACTGTAGAATTTAGAGCAGTGAGGAGAGATATTATAGGTAAGAATTCAATGCTATGAAAGAGTTGATGAATCGTTTGTGGACTTCAAAGTAGCAAGCGAACTGGGAGTTGTTCTTGGCCCGCAGGCAGCTAGCGCGTGAACTCCTTTATCTGTCCTTGATATTTCATTAAGGTAGGATACCTCCAATGGCTACAGAACATCGTGACTTTGTATTTGTGGGCTAAAATATTAAACTGATTTGGAAACCATAAAATACACAACAAGACAACAAGGAATCAATATCGTGTTGCTGTGGCTCCACTGTCTCTCTAAAAGGCTTATTGTTAGCTGCGGAAGAGCAATCAATAGGGGGAGACTTGCGTGCAGAGAATATAATGGAAATTTCGGGAGCAAACGGCTGAAAAAAAAGACATCCCAAAATGGGCCCAATTAATAAGCAGCTGCAGAATAGCAGCACCAATCACAAAGGTTAAGCAATATTAATATTTTGCTAATTCTGAAGTATTGATGTTTACCATGTAAACAGTCTTGACCATGCTTCGATGAGGCTGAAATAGTCGACTATGGAATTCCGGCTCCCACACACTCTCACACTCTCGGCGCTCTTCACGCCCCTCCGATCGGCCCTCTGTGAGCGTACATTCGAGGTCGCACCCAATTTCGAATGTACACTGCTTGCTCTCTTGTACGTCGCCACACAATGGCTACGGAGCTGCAACTGAATCCCTCGTACAAACCCGTAACCTCATCCTGTCAACGGGCAGTACTGAAAGGTGCTAGGTTGAGCAAATAGGAATTGTGGATCTATATCAATACTCTCACTATGGCCCACATCCCTTTTGTCACAGTGCTGCTGTAATCTAACAACTGAAGCAGAAGAAATGTAAGGAAGAGCTGGTTCCTGCTGGTCATTCAGACAACATTTCACAACCAGAAAAGTTGAGCCCCAGATCCTCTAGCCGTCCAAATTTGAGGATTACGGGTATCAGACATTCGAGAAATTGGAAAAGTCAAGAAAGGATGGGATAATTCAAACAAAGGCTATGGAAACATTGCTTTAGTAATGTTGATCTCCGGCGCTAAGGATAATGAGATCAAAGGAGCCAACGCTCATGTAGGTAAAGGCCTTCTCTAGAGAAATGTTTGAAATGTTTTCACTTTTCGAGAGGAATGGGAGTAGTAAAGCACAGAGGTATCTCGGAGAGATAATCTAGGAATTTCCTCCCTTCAACTCGTTCCACCATCGACAGATGTGTATATTCGAATCCAAGAGGGCCCTCGAAAGCGGCAAGAAACCTCTCACAATCACATCCAGTTTTGGGCCGATTTAGAAGCGCTCCTACCTCCTGTAGTGCTTGTTCATATTACAGATGATTCGCTATCTGTTGATGGCGACACTGTTAGACCTACATCAAAGGCAAGATTCAGGCAGGAGGTGGGCCACCAGTGGCACGAGCCTTTTGCTCTACGCTGCGGAGATGTTCAAAAGGCCTGCAGGGAGATGAGATGATGAGAATGTGAGAGCGGAGAGCGCTAGAGAAGTACGAGTAGAGAGAGCAGCAGATCAAGTTACGCAGACAAGATATCGAGCGGTGGGCGGAGCGTCTCTCAGCGGGTGGAGCGTGACGAAGTTCTTAGCGCCTAGCGTCTGAGCAACGCTTTTTAAGTAGGGAAGTGAAGCGACCTCTGCACTTCGAACTCTGCGCTTCTTGCTTCTAGCCGCAGTAAAGGCTTAATAGGTGGGTCAGAGCCCAGAGTTTCCCTTTTGCTGAATTTTTAAATGTAGTGTACAAAGACTACATGGCATTGTAACTTACATCAGAACGCGTGAAACTCCAGTTCGGGGGGCCACTCCATTTGCTATCTTATCCGTATACAAGAGAGCAGTTCTCTGGCTACGAACACTACGGATCAATAATAAGTAAACAGACTCATTTCGAGGCGTACTTTTGATAAGGACGCGGTGGATGTACCTACATTGCACACTTACCTCCCACATCCTCCATCGCACTTTCTGCCACAGGTGATCCACGCCTGGCGGCTCTGCAGCCCTATGCCTTGCGGAGGTCACCTTTCTCCTGTCAGCGACGCGTTCATTGGGTCATGGCAAGCGATGTGAAAACGATTCAGTGGGTTTTTCACCATTACACGATATTTATCAGAAAGTCTCCTTTAAATGAGTCGATTACGTGTCGTGAGCCCTCTAATCCTTATCATGTGTATTGGAAGAAAAATGAGTGGCCCCCCCCGAACTGCAGTTCAACCCATGCAGAACCCATGTAATGCAAATTTCTGATCGTAACAAAGTTGATTTGCTTTGAAAGAATATCGCAAAGGCTTTCGCAGTTGACCATCACGAGAGCGACGTCTCATCTTCAACAACCCAAAATCTTCACAGCCGTGAATGTTGGTCACCATTCTGACGCAACTTCTACTCCCAGCAAGTCTTCAGTAGCACGATATACCTACTCCGCAAAGTAGCCCACAGTGACGTGTCAAAATGGCGCTGGCTGAAAAAAAAAACGAACTGATGACATTTGGCATAATATTAAGAGACTGAGAAATCCGTGAAGGCATGTGAAAAGTCCAGCTTTCCCAGTGGCGTAATAGAAATTCGTAGGGAACCTATCCTGCTTCAAAAAGGAAGAAAAATAATACGATCAAGAAAACCCCTGTAATTATTGCCAATTGCTAAAGATCCCTTGGATAGCCACATTTTGCATTCGCTCACTTCACGCTCCGGCCACGTAATACGGAACCAAAGCGAAGTATCCTTTTCTCCACCTGAAACGGGAAGTCGTATTGGATTTTTTGAATGAAAGAGGAGGGGGTGGTTGGAAAACTAAGATTTTTGGAGTGTGGGAAGTAGATGGTGATGAACTGCGAAGATTTGATAAAATTCACGCCCAACAATAAATATGGTATCATCTTGAACACCAAAATCATGTCCATGAGATAGTGAAATAGTAAGTGTAGCGAAACGAACAAACTATGAAGGACCTTGTAAACTAATCGCAGGAAAGACTCAAAATAAGGCCTTTAAAACGTAAGTGGATTCATCGTTCGCTATGATTTCAAGAGAGTTTTCGGAGAAGGGCACAAGAAACAGAAAAACGCCCTTTTCGCGGTGCATATCGCCCACTATTGTCATGTCCGCACTGACTAAACCAGAAAAGTGA